GCCATAACATTAATATTCTCATGGGGCAGTTCAAAGTAGTTCATTGTAAAAAAGAAAATCTATTAATTAGATGCATCAATCAGGTTCCAAAAATAGTATCAGAGCCTGTTAGGACTTGGAAACTCCCATGCATTAACCAACCCAATGTTAGAAGCTGGTAGCTGCACTATAAAAGCAAAATTAGAAACGTTGAACTTAAAAGAGAGCATGTATTCTGCGGCGGCCTGGGGTTCGCCGGTTCGGATTCCAGGCGCGCACCGACGCACCGCTTGTCAAGGCACGCTGTGGCGGCGTCCCATATCAAGTAGAGGAAGATGGGCATGGATGTTAGCCCAGGGCCAGTCTTCCTCAGCAAAAAAAGAGAGGACAATTGGCAGATGTTAGCTCAGGGCAGATCTTCCTCACAAAAAAAAAAAAAAGAGCACGTATTGCTAAAATACTTAGCATAAGTAAAATATTTAAGCATAAATATAATAAAATACATGCTTAATCTAATAACACTCGTGGTATATTTGAGGTCATTTTGCTTGACCTCTTCTCAAAGATGATAAAAGCATACACATTATAGATATGCAGCTGACTCTAAAATGGCATTTCCCAGCCTGGTGTTACATCCAGATGGATTCCTGGAATACGTGGTGATACTACAGTCAGCTCGAGTCTCACTCTCACCTTCATTATAAAGGTGAACGCCTCATGTGTGCATGGTTTAACTCCTTCAGAAGCTGTGACGTTTATCTAAACTGAAAGAATGATAGATCGATGCTGGAGGATGCTAAAATACTGAGTATGAGGTACAATGCCTAGAGAGATATAAATACAAGTACATCAAACGATTGAGACACACTAGAATGAGGAGGAAAGAAATGTGGAGTTAGGCATTCAATTATATTAAGCATTTAGAGAAAATGTTAATATTCGGGACGGCAAGCTGTCAAAAAGAAGATGCATGGAATTGAATAGAAAGGTTTGCATGTCTAGAGTGATTGTTAGGCTATGGACTAGAACTAATTTGAGAGAATTCTTAGTGAAAGGTGCTGTGCAACTATACCACCTGTGTGGATATTTTGGGGAAGGTTTTTGTTCTTGTGTGTGTTTTTTTTTCTTATCAGAAAATAACTAACAGTAACCTCTTTCAGAATTAATTACTATGGGAAAGACCTTTGTACTCTGATTGCGTCTATTTGTTCTGATGAAATGTTTCTTTTTGGTTTTGTATATGAAATGAACCTGCTGGTGGCTGTCTTCCTTTAATTAGGAAACTTAATAATCCAGCACTGTTTCAATGCCACACGCAGAAAAAGGAGTTATTATAAGAAACATGACTAATTTAGTCATTCAGAGTGCTATTACAAATAACACAGCTCCTCGCTTAAAAAATTATGAAAAAGCACTTTAACAATGTTTTCAGAGAGAAAGCAAGATACAAGTTTTAGGCTAGACATTCTGAATTCTGGCTACATTTAATATTTATCTGGGGAATAGTTAAAAGTATGGATCCCTGATTTCGCTCCTCAGACCAATTAAAATTGATTCTTTGGAATCGGGACCCAGGGAGTTTTAAAAGCTCCCAGACGACTTGAACGTGCAGCCAGAGTTGAGGACCCCGATGCAGGCAATGCGGCCAGGCCACCGACATGCTCACTACTGAAAACTCAGCGCTTACCTTCCGCAGGTTATAAATAAATTCACTCAAGTTGTAAAACAAGGGTTGGGGAAGATCAGTATCACTTTTTGATAGATTCTGGCTTTATTTTATTTTTATTCAGTTTATGAAAAGGAAAAGCCCCAGTTCAAAGGCATTGCTCATGGGCAAGCCGAGCAAGCCACAGACACGAATGTAAATCTTGCTCCACTGAGCCGAATCTTACGTGATCACAGAAAAGGCAGAAGAGGAGGTCAGGTAAGCTTGTCTCTGTTGCAGGGAAAGTAAAACTATATTGCCTACTGATGGAGGATCAGGGTAGAATCTTTCAGCACCACTGTTATTCCAAATACTGGGTGACTATCAGCTCGTTTCAAATTTCAGTTTTGAAAACTATCAATAGGATTGTGTGCTGTTTTGACCGAAATATGAGGATTTTTCCCTACTTACCAAAAAATTCTCATGTGAATATTTTTTTTTACATAGTCTTACATATGTATACGTTGCTTAGAGATAAAAGAAAGAAAATACAGACATCAAGAAGAAATACAACAACCACAAATAATCCCACTACGTGGAGATACTCACTATAAGCTAGCATATTGGTACATATCTTTCTAGCTCTTTTCCAGTACATTTTTAACTAAAATGAGAGGAGGTCTGCATTTGTATTTAAGTTATTTTTTCTCCACTCAGCAGCATGTCACTAGATGTTCAATAATACAATTTATTAATGGCTGTGTGATATTCTAGCATGTAGATGTTCTATAATTTATTTAACTACTTCCCTATTACTAGAATATTCAATTTCCTTCCATTTCTAAGTTTGAAAATTACCATAAAGAAAGCTGTGAGAAGAAATACATTTTTCATTTCTGGTATTATTTTTCTTGGGATCGATTTTCAGATATAAAATTCTGTCCTAGGTCTCTAAAATAAATGTTCCACAGGTTTCCTCCTTTGGTCCATACAGTAAAATATCTCATCAAAGACCATTTATCATCAATTTGTTGATAGCAAAGAAGCAGAGTTCAAGATGGCTGAGTGAGCTTTCAAGTATGTGTGTTTGTCGTCCCTTCCTCTGGAGACCACAAAATATGATAATAAAATAACTTTCAGAAAATAAAAATCTAGAGCAGTTTCCTAGGAGGTAAAATTCTGATGGAGGAGTGGAAACTGCTGGAGTAGCTTAGCCGGGAATTTGTGCAGAGGCAGGAAGAGACAGTGAATCTCCTTAGCCAAATCCTAGAGACGTCTGGACTCAAAGATGGCAGGTGAGCAGGGTCAGAAGTGAGAATCAGGGGTGAAAACATGAAGAAAACTGAAGCTCTGACCACAGACCACGCAAACACAATCCTTTTCTCTACAGACATTCAGAGTGTGAGAGCAGTAATGGGGGGGGGGGATTGGCACTTTGCAGTACAGTCCTCAATCTGACACTGGGGGGGTCATCCAAGTGACGCTCTTTAGCCACCCACTCTAGAGGGAAGTCTTTCCACTTCTAGGACTTGTTCCGTGTACCCAGATTTCTTGGTCAGCCTTCCTGTTCTTTCATTCTTCAATGTAAACAGATGACCAAAGATCATCAGAAATTTTAGGAAATTCTACAGCCTAAAAATGACTAATTTAAACAGGCAGAAAAATTGATTCCAGAAAAACAGACTAAAATGTAAAGAGTAAAGAAGAACTTAAGACAATCACAAGTGTCATTAGACAGATTAGAGATGTTATATTCATGAAATATGATAGGATGCTCTGAAAAAGTTGCATTCTGAAAACAAAAAAGAGTCTTGTAAACTAGATATACATATAGGATTGTACCCCCCCACACCACACACAAATGAAAAGACATTTGGAAGAAAAATTCAAGGAATCTTCTAGAACAGAGGCAGAAATAATGGGTTTTTAGCATTAACAACAGATGCTAGATGACAGTGAATCAGTCTCCAAATTTTGAGGGAAATGATTTTTAATCTAGAATTTTATAACCAAGCCATACGAATCAAATGTAAGAGCAAACTGAAGTCATTTCAAATACATAATAACTTAGAAAGTTTGCATCTAACATCAACCTTCAGAGTAGTTGCTTAAGGATATACTCTGAAAAAAATGAGAATAGAAACTAAAAAAGAAGAATATGTGGGACATTAGAAACTGAAATTAATCCAGTAACCCAATGAGAAGTCAGTGAACACGAAGAACTTCTTACAGAAGAAGAATGAGATGAAGGATATAAAAACAAGAATCTAGAACATAATGTCAACATTCAAAGAAGGGATATTTTCTTCTCACAAGAAGAAAAAAATCAGATAATCTAGGAAAACAAAACTAACAAGAGTTTGTGATAATAACAATGAAGTAAGTTTAATGTGGCATGATTTTGAGTATTTGATGGAGGGTTGGAAAGTGGAATCAATTTGACCTTGACTCTAGGACTATACAAGAGAGGCAGAGAAGTCACAACAACTTGGAACTGTAGAAAAGGAAGTGATGGCAGATGCTATGTCTGCCAAAAGCATTATTTTCATAGCTGTAATAAATTTTCCGAATGAGGAGTCAGGAGATATTGTTGAAACGCGATAGAGCACGATATACAAGTGTAGATAGCCTATTTAAAGTTACAGATTTAGGGGTCAGCCTGGTGGCATAGCAGTTAAGTTCGCGTGCTCTGCTTTGGCAGCCTGGGGTTCGCGGGGTCAGATCCTGGGCAAAGCCCTACGCACTGCTTATCAAGCCGTGCTGTGGTGGCGTCCCATTTAAAGTAGAGGAAGGTGGGCACGGATGTTAGCTCAGGGCCAGTCTTCCTCAGCAAAAAGAGGAGGATTGGCAATAGATGTTAGGTCTGGGCTAATCTTCCTCAAAAATGAGTAAATAAATAAATAAATAAAAAATAATAAAAAAAAAATTACAGATTTAATCAGCGGAGAGGTTTAAAATTTTAAATGGCAATATAACTTTGAAAAATTGAAAGGTTATGCAAATAGGCTAAACTTTTATCTGGCACACAGGGGATCAACCAATAATGCTGAAATTTGATAAATCTAGAAATAGGAGTATAAATGTACTTATTCACAGAGAATTGAAAGAAATTTTTAAAAGACTAGCAGCAGAAATTGTTAACATTTTTTTTGGTTACAGGATTGCTGTTCATTACAAATCTTATATTATTTGAATTTCAAACTGTACACAAAATACCTTAATCATTTTTTAACCTTAGAATACTATACTCTTCCACCAAATGCTAAAGACCAAACGTGAATTTTTTTTCTTAGAAAAATAATGTTCTAGATTTGAAGAAGACAGCTTACCTTTGGAGAGGGGGACAGGAGGAAGGAAACACTAGAAATCAACTCACCTAAGCAAAAATCACTGAAGTCAGCAAAAGAACATTTGAGCACAGAGTCTTTCTTATCCTCCTCAGTGTTAACTGAAAAACAAAAAGACATGTCATAGTTTTGGAAAATAAAAACACAGCAACAGTTAGAAAAATGACTATGGTGACTGATGTCCAGATGATGGTCAAACCTGAAGAAATTTTTTAAGTTAATGAGTTGAAATTAGTTATTTAAAATTTCACTCAATAAGGGAAAGATAAATCTATATTTTAAAACCTTCATCCTCTTGAACAGTTAGTCACTTTCCTCATTGCACCTCGGTGTAAGCTGACTATTTATAATTGGCAGCAATTTTGCAGTATCATTGAAAAGACAATCTTGGTAATTTCAAGCTATCCAGAGGAAGAAGTAACCCTGAGGGATCATAAGGGAATGCCTTCTCATAAGACAAAAGCCTCTTAGAGTGGGATGGGAAAGTAAAAACACACCCCCATCCACTGAACGACAGGGTACTGGTTGTATTTTGACTCCTGACTCTTGTGAAAAGGAACTGTCCAAAGGCATAATAGCGTGTCTCTGATGGGCAGAAATGTGTAGAAGAGCGCCTGAGGACAGCCACAGAGTCTCTTTACTGTGGCATCCGGCTGGCACTTCCCTGTGTTTCAGCCCTTGTGTTATCTAAGGCTTCAAAGCCAACATTTGGTTGCCAACACCTGTCCAACTACATCTTCATGCAGCTAAATCTTCACTGCTTTATTGTCAGTACTATTTAGAGTCTTTGGTCTTTCTTTTTAGGAAACTGTGTTTATTTTGCTGACATTTTCTACCTAATTACTGGTTATAAGTTGTCTCCTGAAAAGGTAATGAGCCAGCTATTCAGGTAGCTGGTCTGTCTTCTCCTGCAAACAGCAAGTGTTAGGTCCAGGTTCCCATGGGGTTGGCTATTTTCACGGTAAGGAAGAAATGAAAACATATCTGACCAACAATGGCCTTTCACTGGACCGGCACAGTGTACTGTTCCCCTTTCTATGCTAGCCTTCCTCCTAGAGAGCTTGATAAAGACTAGCAAAATGGATGAAGAAAGGAAAGGAGTGGTTTGAAAACACTCTTTATATTTTGAACAAGAAAATAGGAAGAGCTGCTCACCTTGCTCTGCTTTGTCAGCAGAGACTGAGGTCACAGAAGTGGGAGCCTGAGCTTCGCTCTCAGTTGACCGGAAGAGTGAGGTAGATTGGCTCAAGCTCTTGGAGTACGCAAAGCTCTGGGCGAGGCAAGGCAGGGATCTGCGGGATGGTTTTAATGACGTTTCTTTCGCTATCTCACTCTTGCTTATATTCATACCTGCAAATTCAAAATGGTGCATTTTAGCAATAAGAAATAATCAGCAGAAGTCAACAAACAATTTTAATCCCTGTGATGGCTGTTTCAGGAAAGTACTCTTGAAAAGCACCACCCAGGGAATAGAACTAATTGAGTTAGTTTTGTTGATACTTTGTCAGGGAAAGTGTTTGAGATTTTTGTCAAATAGTTCTGAGAAATAAACAGCTCCTCTTTCAGTCTGACTTTTCACCATTTTTTAACAGTTATGTAAAAAAGAAACTGATATTTAAGTTCATTTGGAGAGTTATGAGTTATAAGAACAATGATTTGGAATGTCTTTGGATAAACCTACCCACACAGGTTTTCAAGCAGCAAAATAAATTAAACCTAACACATCAACATTCTAACTACTATTACTAAATGGAGCCCTTCTTTGTAAAACCCCTCCTCCCTTAAACACATGCATAATGCACTAACTCCAATAATGCACTAATACTGTCTTCCCTTGAACACATGCATAATGCACTAACTCCAATAATGCACTAATACTGTCTTCCCTTAAACACGTGCATAATGCACTAACTCCAATAATGCACTAACACTGTCCTCCCTTAAACACGTGCATAATGCACTAATGGTGACCAAGATGCTGGAAAGAGATAGCACAGTACAGTACAAAAAAACTTGCCAGCAGGCAGGGGTCAAGAGAGAGCATTCCTGCGCTCAGTGTAACAGTCCCTCTCCTCATGCAGAGAAGGCTGCTCTGTTCAAAGTAAGAATGCCCTTCAACAGGACTCTGCCTCCATAAGTGGAAGCCCCAGTAACTGTGTGCTCCAGCAAAGAATGGCCCCATTCCCCTGTCCCCATCCATCATCATCCCCGGTATGTCAATCTCAGGCCATTCCTCATCCCTGGAGCACTAATACCCAAATGTCTCTGGATACTGCCATTTCTGATAGCATTTCCTACCTAGACTATGTCACCGGGAACTCATGTCAAACACCAGAAAACCCACTTAAAATCATCCTCAGCTTTCCCTATGGATGATCAGTTCCCTCCATAATCTCACTCACACCTGACACTGCCCCATATTCCCTACCAAGAACACTGTTTCCCTTGCAGCCATCTCCTTTGGGGGTTCTTTTCTTTTACACAGCCTCCCATTTCACATCAACCTGACTTCACCTGGAGTAGATATCCCCCTTACTCCTAATTGCCTCTTTCAAGTCAGTCTTATTTTTCCCCCAACTTTATTGAGGCATAATTGACAAATATAATAGTAAATTTTAAAGTGTACAATGTGATTATTTGATATACATACACATTGTGTAATGATTACCTGGATCAAGATAATTAACATATCCATCACCTCACATAGTTAACTGTTTCGTGTGTGTGGTGAGAATGCTTATCTACTCTCAGCGACTTGCTTACAATACCATATTATTAACTATAGTCATCACGCTGTACATATATCCTTAACAACTTCTTCTTATAACTGAAAGTTTGTATCCTTTGACCTACATCTCCCCATTCTTCTTCATCTCTCCTCTCTAAAAACAAACAAACAAAACCCCCAAAAACAGCTTTCAAATTCCTGCCATTAGACTACTCCTCTACTCTTCCTTGTTCTGTCATTTTCATTTATGACTTCCAGGTTACTTCCCACCATCTGTGAAAAATTTAGTTTCTAAGTCACTTCTCTCTTGCTTATTTTCTGATTCACACCTATCACTCTGACCACACTATATATATTACCTATTTGGTTTGTATATGTCTGTCTACCTCACTGGAATGCAAGCTCCATGATGGTGCTGATTTCTGTTCTGTTCTCTTCACTGCATGATCTCCAGTGTTGAAAATCGTGCTTGGCAAATGGTAGATCCTCAATAAACATTTGTTTAGTGAAAGAATATTTGCATGTGAGTCGGCTGACCACCCCTACAACACTTTGTACTCCTTAAGGGCAGGCTTATGTCATATCTTCTTTGTATGTCCACTGCCCATTGCCAATGCCTGGACGTAAGGTATTCAGAAAATGTTTGTGGAATGAATATTCCACAATTCCAATTTCAATGGGTTACGACTCAGCTCTTTCAATAACTTTAGTGTCTTTAGCAAGTCTATAACACAGACCGTTATAGCCCCATCTGCAAAAACAAGGAACTAGGTCAACTCTGTGATCTCCAAAGAACTTAGTACCATAAGGTGTTGTCTTTCAGCAAAATGGTTGTCACATTTCCCCATTTCAACTTACCTTGGTAGATGATAACTTTTACAAAGCTGCTTGATCCTGAAGGACTCCCTAAAATGGTTCCCAGTGATACCTGAGTTGCACAGCTGGGTATGTGTACTGTCTGTATGATGTGAATAAAACCATGGAATCCCCTCATTTCACCGTTGGGTTTGGGCTTCATGCCACACAGGGCAAAGGGACTTCTGAGTGACTTATTACTGAGTGCCTGTTACATGTCAGGCTTTGTGGATGGTGAATTTATTTATTCGTTTTGGGGGATATGTCTTTATTTTACACAAGTAAATACATAAAAATATTCTCATTGTAAAGTTTTTAAATTATACAGGTAAATAGAATAAAAAATAAAAATCTATTTTTATTCTGATTCCCAAATTCTTATTAGCTCCCTAAATGAAACAAATGTTAGTTTACTGATGATTGTTTATGTATTTCTATATGTAAGTGTATACACAAAACAGTTTTCTTATACAAAGGGGATTATACAATATGTCACATTACACATTTGCCCACTTAATATGTCTTGGACGCTTTTCCATTTCAGTCCATATAGATCTAACCCAGCCTTTTCAAACTACTGCATAATATTCCACAGTATGTATAAACCATAATTTATTTGATTACTCCCCTGTCAATGGACATTTAAGTATTTTTCAATATTTCACTTTAAAAATAATACTGCTATTATTCTTGCATATGCCTTTTCTTGTACATTCTAGCATTATTGTATATGCTCTTTTTGTACACATTGAATATTTCTCTAAGAGGAAACACTTGGATGTACAACTGCTGGTTTGAAGGACATGAATATTTATCCTTTGGATAAATAATGCCAAACTGCCCTCCCTAAAAGCTTTATCTTCTCACACTTCCAAAAATACTAAAAGATGGAATCCATTTCCTTATGTCTTGGCCAACTCCAGATAGTATCAACTGTTTTAATACTGAACAAAATAAAAAGCCAACAAAAACTGTCTTATTTTCCTGATACAGATTGAGCATATTTTCATATATTTCTTAGTCAATTATAATTCTTAAATGACTAAGCTATTTTACAGTTTTTTTTACTGTGTTGTTAGGTTCTTTCTTATTATTTTACAGGTACTTAGTGTGCATGTGTGTGTGTGTATTATATATATGGTATTTTAGTGACTATATAATATATGTAATATATGTCTGTATTTACTTCACTTAATATTCCAACAATCTTACAAGGCAGATACTGTTATTTCTATTAGCTATGGGGAAACTGAGACTTAGAGAGGAGAAGTAACGTGCCTTAAATCACACAGACGAGTAAGTAGAAAGGGGGTTCATATTCTAAGCAGCTTCTAGTACTAAAACCACCACACAATGGTGCATCTATAAATTAGTTTGAAACTCTTGAAAACTGTTCACCTCAAAATTCAGACAATGAACTGTAAAGAACACTGCAAAGTCCAAACTGGTAGAGGCTAAAACACAGAGGGAACGTGTCTAGAAACATATCCGTTCTCACCACCCTCCCTATTCACCTGCCCAGACACTGATTCTCCGTATTAAAGTAAATTTTTAATGTAGTGATTGAAAGGTGAAAAGGATAATGCAAATGCATCAGTACATAGAGCATTCAATTAATGAAACTTTTGCCTTGCAGTTACTCGTCTTAATTTCATTTTTGAGGCAGTGTAGAATGTGGGTCCTAATAGGGATGGGCAAGAGGTGAAGAAAGAGGAAAGGTACATTTCCAGTAATTATCATATTTATCATACAACGAACAAATTTAACTGAGTTCCACTCATATTGTTCAGGTCAATAATTTTTAGCCTCTTAATTTTATAATCAGTTCATGAATTAACTCCAAGTTTCTAAGGAGCTCTTCAAATGCGTGAATTCTAATAAAGACAAGCAGAGGTACCAGTGTGCATTGCCCTTAGAGACAAACGGGAATCTTGAAAAAGAAATAACAGGACAATTTTTGAAAGAAGTTCTACAGAAACAAGACATGGTTGAATAGATGAAATTCAGATAAACCTAGGAGTGGGGATTTTATCTTTCTGTTTTATAAAAATATGCATTTATTTATTTTCATATTAATTTTCAGTATGCAAATAAAATATGAACTAGAAAGGGATGCAAGGAAGAACTGTGAATTAACTAGAAGAATAACACCCAGTCTCTTAGCTTTCTGGGACTCTGTAATTACAAGGCAAGAAAATACTGTTTGAAGAGGAATTGCCCAAGGTCCACAGAAATCACACTAAAATCCTACTAAAACACCATACAATTTCCCTTAGTTAAGGACCAACTAGTGTGTTCTATAGGAATAGCATGGGACAAATCTATCCTAGTAAGTTTTTACGCCTATGAATCTTTTGTAATGTGATCTGATACTTCCTTTTATTTAAGCAACACTGAAATAGAATATTAAATTGGCAGCTTTCTATTTTGGGGCCCAAGTTGAGAATAGCCTTTTACTCTAGCAGAACATAGGAGTAAAAGAACAAATATTCTCTTTTGGGGTGGAGGAGAGGGAAGGTGCATAGACGGAAGACAGGATAGCTGATGATAAAGACGTTGGACTGAAAGAGAAATGCCCTGGGTCCCTGGGCCCCAAAGAAATGGCCTTGATGAGAACGCTATAATAATACTATTCTCCTTCATTCACTCACTCCAGCATGCAGCTTCAAAAAGCAGCAACTAATATATTTCTCTTTCTCATAATATTCAAACATGAGTGAAAGTTTCAACTGTGCTTTGGGTGAAAGATAACTATCGCATTGG